ATTTGAGTGTGGTGGGTGTCAGCTCGATGACCGGTGCTGGAATCGATGAGTTCTTTGAGGCCGTGTCAGAAAAAGCAGAGGAGTTCGAGAGAGATTATAAGCCAGAATTGGAACGACGAAGAAAACAGAGAGATGCCGAGAAGAAAGAAAATCGAGAGAAAGAGCTGGACAAATTGATGAAGGATATGGCCGTTTCAGGAGAATCTTCATCTTCTAAGGCTCGGGGTCCACCAGATGCCAAACCCTCCACCGATATGGATACTCTAAGTGATATGGAGGACTCTGATGATGAGTTACCAGGTGGCGGAGATGATGACGAGGATGGTGGGGATAATATTGAAGGATTAAGTTCAAGATACAAGGCAGCTCTGGGAGATGGAGGAGGTCCATCCAATGCGGACGATCATAGCTTCACTCGATATATTAGAGCAAGTCAGATGAACAACATGCAATAAACATGTAGCAGGGGAAAATTGGCGATTGGTACAAAGGAGTTTTAGGGGATATAGCATTGATGGCGGCGCATCTGTAACCGGCTTTGATACCAAAATATAGCTTTGGGTAAAAAAAAAATGTAATTCACAATATGGATGTCCTAACCCTCTATAGAATATACGCCGGCCATGGAGTAGTGACAATCTGTTTATTCCAATGCGCCTCGAGATATGCCTCGTACCGTAACCATTCATTACCACTCCAACAAAATCACATCAAGCATTTCGCAAACCTCTCCCAAATCTCTCCATTTCCCCCCAGATCTCTCTATCCTCGCATATCATAGCCCATAAACTTTTACCCCCCAAATCACCCATTCATTTCGCACACTAACCCCGATCATCTTGCCTCGAATTGAACCATTCTATCACCAAAATTAGTTTCTCTTCCACTCAACCTACACTACTCTACCACTCCCTAGACGAATATCCACATACCGAGAAGTCCTCTCCTTATACAAAACACGATGACCACACTCCTTGCATCTAATTGGATCACCTCTCTTCAACATCACACTCGCATTGCAATCGCCGCACAAATATTTGATCGCAGGACCATCGCCCAAGACTCCCGATGCGCCGTATGGGTTGGGGGCTTGTGTGGGGTTTGTCGCAGGGACAGAGGTGGGTACTTGGTAGGAGTCGTCCATTTTTAATGTGATGGGTTGGGTTTGGTGGTGGGAAAACGTAAGGGTTTGTGTTTTGGGTGGTGTGGTTGGAGTTGGTTCTGCTGGTTTGATGGAGATGATGAGGGAAGATTTTCTTACAAAGAGAGATTCATACATGGATTGAGGGACAGGCTGAGAAATATTATTGTGGGGTAGAGAGGGGTCTAGACTCTTTTGGGTTAGAGGAATTATTAGGTAAGGATGGGCAAATATCTTGGGTTCCATTCATTCTTCCTAAGCTTCACTCGAAATTTATTGAAGCACCAGCACCAGTACCAGTACCAGCACCTGTATCTACACCTGTATCTACACCTGCATATCAACCTCTTAATCCATTTATTTCTATGTAATTATTGGGTAGGTACCCAATTAAAGGAACAACTTGAATCTTACCAACTGTTGGATGCATGTGATACATACCTATCCAAACATATGGACTCTAGCTTGTTCATCTAACTACCCGACATCACAATCTCACAATCTCACAATCATACCTAAAGGACCAAAAATAGAAACGGGAATTCCTCCAATACTATTGTGACAATGACAAAATCTGATATCTGTTCATGCAATTTGGAGAAGGGGAAGGGTTAAAGCATAGACGACGATACTTTGTATAACAGGGTGAAGTATGAGAAATTGGTGTTTCTGATGTACAATTGATGTGTTGTAGTGAGAAGAGTGGCTTATAAGGTTGTTACTTGAATATATATAAATATATAAATATATATATACAACGAACGGTCTTGCATAATATATTGACTATTGACCTTCAATTTGCATTGGATCTATCTAGACGGGATAGATAACGTGTTTGCAAACTGCATGAGAAGATATAAAATTGAGTGATACATATGACATATATGACATGATTATCTCCAAACTTTACGATTAAGCTTTCTTTTCTATTATGCATGGCCTCATACGGTCATACCGTTTATTATCGATCCATCTACTACTGTAGACTCCCTTCACTCAAAGCCAATCATCAATTCTATTAAAATCTATACCCCTGTCATTCCGCATCTAGCCTTTTACCAGAAATGGATCTCTCCAAACTCCAACTCCAACTCTAACCTTCACTCCAAGTTAGCCTCAAATAATCATATCCATCCTTCTAATCTTGTCTCATGCTTTCTCATGCTTTCTCATAAACAACCTTTACTCCAGCACCCCAAAAAGATTAATTATATGCAATCGTCAAATTTTGTAGAACTGTATTCAATCATGGAATAATCCAAAGTTTCTCTCTTTTGACCTGTTATACATTACCATTACCAGCACATCAGCATTCGTTCAAATACGCATTAGTGATATCGTCCATTCTATTCCAGGTTGCACTGTGGCGATCTCAGTGTATCCCATCCTTTTTGGAATATCCTCAAACTTTTTATACGCATTCTTCATTATTGACAGACACAATTCTACAAAAGTAATTTAATAATACGTGCGTGCACGTTGTGTCTTCATTGACATATGATGCGCCATGGTATGTTCTCTCTTTACAATCCATCCAACATATCTTCTAGTATGACTCTATTGCGCCAAACTTTGAAAGCTAACATGAATCTCTTGCTTAGGGTTGTTGTTTCTCCAGATCCCACACCGCTGAATACTCCGTAGGAGCTGGTGCATCCTCTTCCCAAGCAATCGCATCTTCCTCGCGACCTCAATCCCGATCAGGACCAGCTAGACCATCAACCAATACTTCCACTACTAGCACTCCTTCTCCCCGACACCACCACCACCGTGTCCCTCTCACTGAACATATAAATAAACCCCTTCGACCTCACGCATGGATGAGTGGGAGCAAAATATGGACACGACGAGAAATAGATCGAGCACGAACGGAATTCTTCGACACTCGTGTTACAGGAAGACCTGAAATATGGCAAGCCATAAGAGCTTCATTGGAAGTGATGTGGAAAGGAGGAGAGACCGGTGAAGATGATGGAGGTTTAGGGACTGCGCAAATGATTTTGAATGCGGCGGAAGTGACTCTACCGGATGGGGATATGGCGGTCAGGGGATGTTTTGATAGTTCGGGTGTACATTATTCAGTACCTGAACATATTGTTTCTGATCCAGCAAATCTGTTGGATGATGCTACAGCGCGAGCGACGGGGAAGAGCGATGATGAAGGAGACTTGGAGGATGAAAGTGAAGAAATGGATGAGGAGATTCTAAGGAGGAGGGAAACGAAAGGGAAAGCCAAGGCGAAAGAAATGATAGCCGTAAAAGCGAGGTTTCAACATGGTATCAATGGAGATATAGTGTTCAAGATTGGGAAGAACGATTCGGTGCGATCACTTGTCAGAGCGATTACTCAAAAGCTCGAGGTTTGTATATTCCAAGGCGCTCTTAAGATTTCAAGCTAATAAGGTTAACTAGCTCTCTCCGCCCAAACATGTCAAAATAAACTATATGGGCAAACTCCTCAAAGACAACGCTTCGTTGCCAGCGCAAGGATGGGTGGAAGGTCACATTGTCAATGCATGGGTACTTGAATCGAGCACAAAGTAATGACAATCCAAGAGTCATAATGAGGTTGTATATAACACCAGCCCTCACTCAGCATTTGCATTGGTTGCATACGAGATGCATAACATCTCTGGAAACGAGATGACGAATTAATCAGCAGCTATCTATTTTTCCTTTGGGTAATACCCCCTGGGTTGGCGTTCTTATGGGGATCGGGGTTTCAGCGAACGGAGCCAAATTCTAGGTTGGAATATCTTGGTTGGTTCCGCCTGCCTGCATATTCATTCATCCATCAGCGACTTGCCACTTGGTTTCTCTGTTTTTTTTTTTGGAAGTTATACCCATCCTCTTCATCCGATAGCATATCTATCTTTTCTCTATAGTTAATCACAATACACATCAAAACTCCCCTGCTAGAATAGAACAGTGCTTTTCCGAGCTCAGTCGGCATGGGTGGAAAACATCAGGATTCTCCTGAGTCATCTCAGAAACCGGCCCTCGTTGAGTTTTTGTCTATTGTTGAAGGAGCGGTATTTTATAGTATAGTAGGTAGGTAGGTAGGTATGGGTAGGTATTCATATGCATGGATGGATGTTAAGAAATGTTGTACCGTTGGAAGATCAGTCCCGAATCGAGAGTTTCAATAATAATAATTTTGGAAGCGTAGGTATCTCTCTCTCTCTCTCTCTCTCTCTTTCTCTCTCTCTCTCTCTATTTATTCCTAAGAGAATGCTATTCTTGTCATATCATGTCATATCATATATAGCTATAGCTAGATATTGAAAGTACTGTACTTACCTAGGTACGTGGACCTATGTAATAGTACCTATCTATAGGTATAGTATGAGTATATATCGACCGTTTGTCAAATTTAGTTGGCGGGGTATATGGGTATATGGGTATATGGGTACCTATAGGTAAGGTAGGTGTTGATTGTATATACACATACATATATATGTATAGGTATAGGTATAGGTATAGGTATATAGGTATATATATATTGTATTATTGAATATCGAGATATATCAATCAATCTCCATAAGGTAGCTAGCCCTAGCGATCCCCAAGTTCAAATTCAAATTTCATTACCTACTTACCTAGGAAGATTAGCATTGACTTCCATTCCCTTTCTATTCCTATTCCGATTCCTATTCCCATACATAGTATAGTACAATACCAAAAATACCAAATCCTCAATACCAATCTCAATCTCAATCCCATCCACCAATCCTCAATCCCATCCACCAATCCCTCCCTCCCTATCTCCCTCCCTCCCCACCTCCTTACCAATCTCCCACTCACCCAACATAACCCCCAAACCCCCACCCCACCCATCCAAAAAAATACAAAATAGCCTGCCCGGCTAGCTCAATCGGTAGAGCGTGTGACTCTTACTTCATCGCATCGAAAGATCTGATGTGCTAGTTCCAATCACAAGGTTGGGGGTTCGACCCCCCCGTTGGGCTCAATTCCCTTCATTATTCTTTTTTTTTTTGGTTTTTTGGGAGGGGAGAGGGAGGATTTTTTGGGGAGGGAGAGAGGGAGGATTTTTTTGATGGGGAGGATTTTTGGAGGGAGGGAAATTATAGGAGGAGAGGAGAGGAGTATACGGGCGGGCCCGGCGGGCCCTGCGGGGGGAGGAAGATTTTCATTTTCATTTTCATTTTCATTTTTTAATGGGTTTTCAAGGTTCTTCTTTTTCATCTTTTTCATCTTTTTCTTCTTCATCTTCAACTCGGATATATATCCGTGCGCTCGACCCGCTCGCTCTACTAGACTAGTACTCCGTAGGTCTCCGTAATCCATCAATGTGGAAACCCGAAAGCGGATCTCGGGAGAGAGAAGGGGGAGAGGGGTGGAGGGGGGATCTCTGGGGCCCTGGTTATATCCATCCATCCATAGGTATCATAATACATTCTGCAAACTGATGAAATTTTTTTCATATATCTAGATAGTGTTCTACCTATTTAGCTAGAGGATTTCTTGAAATTCATTTGTATGTATCCATACAATTCGAAATATTTATTCAAATCAAATTAAATATATATTTTTTTTAAAAAAAATTCATTCTTTGGATTTATTTACATATATACCGATTTCATAATAAGTGTATATCGACATATTCTATATTTTATATTCCATTCCACCATTTCTCCTCCAATAATAATGTTTTATTATTACCTAGTATTTTTGAGCGGGCTAGCCTAGCCTAGCTTGCTGGTTTGGTGGGGTCACCGGGTGGATCGTGGAATGGATATCTATCTAGAGACTAGGGTAAGTAGATGGGTAGGTAGGGGTCAAGTGAAGGATGATGGGGCGGAGAATAAATTTTAAATGGGATTATTATTGGATTATTCAATCGATTATTGATGGATGGGATAGCATGGGATGGGATGGGATGGATGCTCGTCTAGATAGGTAGATAGTTCATAGATCCCCTCTCTCTATACTCTATACATATACTTCACCGACAAAAACAACCAAAAAACACTCTGGAGGATAATGGATGGATGGGGTGGAGATGAGCGATGAGCGATGGGGAGGAAGACGACGGATGGATGGATGGGGTGGAATCAAGGATAAAAGATGGAGAAATGCGATACTGTCGGTTGAACTGATATTTTTCCAGTACAGTATTTAAGAGGACCCGGTCCGATCTATGGAAGAAATTTCACAGCATCATCAAGGTATAGTGTTTTTTCTTTCTTCAAGAACAATAAAATAAAAACCCCAAATGTTTAAAAAAAAAAAGTCTCGTCAAATTCAATTTCCTCATAGCAGACAGAAGTAAAAAAAAAAAAGATCTATAATTCCGACAGAGACATCAATCAACGACGTCGCTCATGCGAAAAACCAAACCAAACCAAACCAGACCATCTTGGGGTATCATTTTAGGTCGACCTCATGTACCAACCACCATTCCCAAGAAACGCAAAACGCCTCCAGAGTCCAGAGTCCAAATCCCTTCTCCCTTCTCCCTTCTTGCCGAGCCCCTTTCCCCGTCCAAATGCACGCATACAAAACGATGAAAAAAATATACCACCCCCGAGCGAGAAGACTCAAACGGGGCCGCGCGCCTCATACATGTGTCCTGTTTTTGAAAGTACCGTGCCCAAACCCTTATGGACCTCAGCCTGAAAGGGTTGAAAGGGAACTCGCTCCCCATCAATACTTATATACCCATCGCCCTTTTGTTTGGGAATGATCCTGTAGCCGAGGATTTTACGATACCAGACCAGGGGAATATCAAAGAATTTGCCCGTTTCCACGGCGAACATCATGTTGATGGCCGATAGACGACTGACGTCTCCATTGATGCAAACGAGGTCCATGTATCCGTCATTTGGCAAGGCGGCGGAGAAGAAATTGGCGTCCGAGGCCATGTATGCCATCTATTTTTCTTGTTAGGTTTTGATATGGAGAAGAAAAGCGGGGTGGGTGGAACTTACATTTCCACAGTAGAAATTCCCGAGTTTGTCATAGGGAACCATTTCCCAACCCTCGGGCAATTTGTCATTTACAGTACCATACCTCAACGGAGGCAAGCCATCATCCATCCCACTACTAGCAGAAGCATCGTCATCTAAAAGGTATTTGTATCCTCTCCTCTCGCTTGCCGGTTCGTGATTGCTCATCTCCTTTTTATAATGATCTCTTATGCTGGGTTTATCTTCTATCGCAACCTTGACGGCAATATCGCAAGGATAGATTGCCTGTCCAATAAGTCTCTCTAGAAATCCATAGGTAAATCGTGCCGAGCCCATCCATCTCATATGTTCCGTGGCCAAATCTGCCTCGGCCACAATTCCTACAGACTGTGATAGGAAACTAATCGTCCGTGTCTCTCCTTGTGTAATCGATATCAGATCTAAAGGCGTAGGAATCCCTTTGAGAATGGCCAAAGTAGCCAAACTGGCACTATCCGTCCCACTCAAATTGCAACTCATAGCATTCCCACTTCCACACGGTACATGTGTAACCGCGATCTTCGATAGAGCTCTTTTTGCATCATGTCTCTTTCCAAGGCCGTTGAACACTTCATGCGCCAATCCATCACCCGAGCAACAAACTACCATATCATAAGCCTCAACATCCATATTTGCGACAATCGTAACCGCATCCCCTTGGAACTTCGTCTTTACCATGTCGATACTACAGCGTGCTGCCTTCAAAAGTGGTTCCACATCGCGATCATAGTATTTTTGAGCCTTTCCTTTGCCGCTGTGAGGGTTTACCAGGACCTTTGCTCGTTTTACCTGTTGCGATTCGCCGTATGATCGATCGAGTAATTTCGCGATCCATTTCTCGACTTCTTCTGTAGAATGCGACTCTATCGTATATTTCAGCTCTGTAGCTTGCACCCTCGTTTTCGACGTAGGCGAGGCATATCGAATGGCTATTTCATTCGTGTCTAATATTTCGGCCCATAGGACGTTGTAGAAAGGAATGGGCCTCGTATTCGCAGAATCTACATCTGAGTGTTAGTATGACGCAGGTTGGAGACGATGAGTCGTACTTACTTGAACCAAAAGGCCAAAGTCCACAACAAGCTGAGCCCTCTTTCTCAAAAGCCTCATCTATCACCTCATCAGTACAATCATCCTCTCTTAATCCCTCAAGTCCAACTACCAAACTCACCTAGCACAATCAAAGAATCCGTTCCCAATGTTAGAGAGGCATTTCTCCCCACCGTCAACGTCCCATCCGTCACGAAAGCCTGCTCTCCGACATATTCCTCACTAGTGACTCCCAACGTATCGATAAATGGATGATTTGAATCCATAGAAGAAGCCATGATCACATAAATCGTTTTGATATCCCAAGCATTCTCTCTCTTATCATAAGCCTCGCTTCTCTGTCTATCCTCTCTACCTACTAGGTAGTAGGTGGTATGTTGGATGTTGTAACGAATGACTGAATATGATGGTATTTATTGAAATTTGTTATGTATCAAAATAAAATTTAATTTTAGATTTCTTGGATATTTCCTTTGTTTCAATGAGAAGTGAATGGTTCCAAGATTTCTTGTTAGTTCTGATGAGGTCTAAATCCAGGGACGAGACTATCCGAGATGCCGAGCCGAGCTTCACTAACACGGAGGACCACTTCCCCGATCATTCAGTCCAGTCATGGGATACTTTTCCGAACGGCAGACAGCATAGGTAGGTTAAAAATAAACTGAATACGAATTCTATTAATCTATTATGGTGAAGTTCGTGATGTGAGGTTCCGTTTATACGGAGTATGGCTGGCTAGCTACTTGGTGGCAGGTATGAGTTATTTATTGATGGTTACAATTCACCGAATTCTTTCGTTGCATCAAGTTTATTGTTTCTATTTTATTGTATGAACCCTGTATAAACATTCAGAGAACAAAGGCTTGAACATCTAATTGGTGCCAATATCCCCTTTTTAATTGTAATTGAGTTCTGACAGGGGGCGGATACAAATCATACTCCATATATCATTTTTTGCCTCTCATTACGCGTCCCAAATTCTGAAGAAGAGGATAAGGAGACGAGGCAAATTTCACATGCTAAAAGCTAATAAGAATTTTAGCTGTACCTATTCCAACTTTTAGATACCAAGGATCTAATACAAGCGAGTGATGGAAGTTCAATGTTAGGAGATTCAAAATATTTATTTGTAATGCCTCTGATTCTAGATAAAAACTCCTTTTTGTGCCCTTTTGTGCGCAAAAGTCCCCGATCATCATCATTTCAATGATCAAAAAAAGCAGGCTTACACTTAACACAATACAACTTGAACTAGATTGACGCCTTTGGTTGAGCCTGCTTCAGCCCTTCAGCGCCTTCCCATTTCCTCTTCATCTTATTAGCAGCTGTACCTGTCCCAAATGTCCATTAGTCCGGACATGAAAAACTGATGATACAGATTTCGTTATCGTTCTCCACTCCCTCAAGCAAGTTCTACAACCTTATTCAACCCCTTTAATGACCCCAAGCTGAGTGCTAAACCTTGAGACCTGCTTCGAATACGAACAAATCCAGTCACTGGTCCATCTTCACCCTCCTTTTCGATGCTAAGGTTAGCAAGAGCATCCTCCCCTAGAGTGTTGTTAGTAACTAGTTCAACTAGTCGTGTAAAAAAGACGCAACTTACCGAAAACACTTCGTGCGTAAAGATTGGCACTCAAGAATTGACAGTCGCCCTTCAATGAAGCCTCGGGTGTTAAGCAGTTCATATTCGTGCAAGCCATAAGTTGATTCAAGAAATCTCGTAATGATTTGGCCTTTGAATTGATGTTGACCTTGTTCTCCCACTCAAATTCTGTCCACATTGTACGGAATTCAGTTTCTGTGCACACGGCTGGTTGGATATAATCCATGATATCCACATGCACATCATTCAGGATAACCACATTGTTCTCAGTGGAACTGGCACCATCATAGACAACATTTCCGAAAATGACTCCAGTATCCGTCGAGGAAACCTTGATGGTAGC